TTTTTTTTTTTTTTTTTTTTTTTAATTTTCTTTTGTTTAGTCATCCATTCATTTTTTACGTCTTAAAAATAATTTTAAGATTTTTCACAAAATCAAAATAAATAAATAAAAAAACACACACACACACACAAATTCTATTTCCAAAAATATTTTTTAATTTTTAAAGTTTTATCGGTAATTTTGAAGCAGAAAGAAATGGTATGTAATTTTTCAAATCTCAAAACTATCGATTTTAGTGAGAGAATTAAATTCAATAAAAAATGCCGGACAATAGGATAGTAATTTTATATCCCATAATATTTTAGGTTTCTATATATTTTTTCAGAGCATATACAATTATACCTATTTTTGTTTACATAATTTTAAATTTAAAATTATCTCTAAAGAAAATTATGCTTTATTTATTTAATATTTGTCCGCAAATTTAAAATAGAAATTAATTTAATTTATAATAATAAAAAAAACCCGAAACTTCAAAAGCAACTTTATAAATAAAATATAAAACCTCTATTAAACGTATTAAACAACTTAGTTTTTGTTTTAGAACAAAACTATAATTCTTTAAACTAACTGAATATTGCAAAATATGTACTTTTTTTTTTTTAATTAAATAGAATTAGGATTCTTTAAAACAAATTATATATGTATGCAATCTTATTCTTCAAAAATGGAAATATATAAATAATAATAAACAATACCTCAAATTAATTAAATGTATAATTCTTTTCTAAGTGCAATGTTAATCAGCACATTTTCACAAGGACTCACTCATTCCGATCCGACAGCCCTACAATAAAGGAGTTTTTTTTTTTATAAAAAAAAAAAAAAATGAATGCATGCATGTAAATATGTATGAAGGAGTGGGCATGGAAATACGTACATGAGGGAGTAAAAGGTGAGGTCCTGAGGCAGAAGCATGACAAGGATTTGGCCCATACTCGGCCTATGCTGCATGTCTGGATCAACGCAACGAAGGGCAATTAAAAGCATTCGTTTGAGTTGCTTTGAAGTTGGCCTTTCTTCCAATTTGGAATCCACCATTTCCACTTCATCTTCACTCCCAATCAATGATTGTACCCATTCTATCAAATGTGCCTGCATTTTTTCGATATAAAATCATCATTCTACTATCCACTCACTTAGATTTGAGCTTGTTTTAGTCGGAGAAAAAACGTAGCATACTGTGATAGCTCAAGCTCACCGCTATCAAATAATGTCATTTTTTAACTGGTTTTTAAAACTCATATGCTAGGGAGAGATTTCCACTTTCGGACTTCCGCTCAAGGTTTTTAAAACACATTTGCTAGGAAGAGGTTTACACACCCTTATAAACAATGTTCCGTTCTCCTCTCCAACCGATGTGAGATCGCACACATACTAAAAACGCATCTACTAGCTACTAGGGAGAAGCTTCCACACCCTTATAAAGAATATTTCGTTCTCTTTTCTAACCGATGTGAGGTCTCACACATACTTACCTGGGATTCATTGGAGTCCACGGGAGCTCTACCAGTTATCATCTCCAAAAGAAGTATACCAAAGCTGTAAACATCCTCCTTTTCTGTGAATGGACTAGATGATCCATTGTTAAGGGATTCATATCTGAGAGCATTTGAAGAAGTGAGTGAGAATAGCATCAGAACAAGGAAAAGGGAAAAGGGAAAAGGATAGAGACCACTGACGCTTCTCCAACCAAAGGTCCCTGCAAGTTCTGTGGAGGAAAAAGGGCAAGTATACCGAAATTGAAAATCTTGGGATTCAAATTCTGATCAAGTAATATGCAGCTTGATCTTAGCCTGCCATGGAGAATTTGTGGTTCCACATCTTCATGAAGATACGCTAATCTGCAGAAACACACGCAGCTCCCAATGTTCTGAGTAGTGAAGGAAACAATTTTGCATCAATCTTTTCATGAATCAAAACACAGCATAGCATATATTTGTGCATACGTGCATCTTACCCTTTTGCAATGCCTTGAATAATGTTCATCCTATTGGACCATGACAGAGGGCTAAACGGTTTCAGTGGACATCCATGAAGCCATTGATGCAGATTCCCGTTATCTACATTTTCATAGACAAAAATCCTGAACAGCAAAGATACGAAGCTTTTCAATCTCATATTCTGTATTTATAAACCAATTTTTCGTAAAGAAAGGTGAAAGATGGGCATGAACATTACCTATTTTTCTCAATTCCTCGAGTGCGGTATCCAAGCAACTTGACCAGATTTTTATGGTTAATATGTTGAATTCTCTCCGCTTCTCGGATGAATTCATCGTCTTCAATACTGATAAATGAAGATTTAAATGGAGAAAATTCTCTCTAACAAAGATTTTATGAATCATTGATTTCATGCTGTGCGATGTTAGATCACAATAAAATGAATCAAGAGATATTGAATCACTAACGGGATTTGGTTGCATATATGTTGAATTTATGAGATTCAGAACATACCTGTTATTTGCATTGAATATCTTGACAATCACTTTTGTATCATCAGCCAAAATTCCAAGATAATCAACATTGTAATCTTCGATACTAATGACATTCTTTGCGCTGAATCCATCCGTCGCTAGCTCAATCTCATCGAGCGCAAATGTGCTCCTTCTATGCCCATCCTTGACCGCCGCTATCGAGTACCGACCGGCCGAATACTCCCAATCTGTGAAAATACTATACTGATCAATATTCGTACTACCTTGCCGTGAAAACTCATCATCGGAACCCTTCTTTTCGTCAATCTCCGTAGAAACTTCTCCTGAAATCGCCGTTTCACGATCTTCGCTTTGACAGTTCCGATTCCGCTTACGACGATGACAATAGAGTTGACAAATGAAGGTAAGAATAAGAATTAGAAGAAGAAATACACAAATCACAATCAGAACCCATAGTTTCACTCCCGATGCTGTGGGACTAGATAGCCACGTCTCAATAGAAACTAAGTTGAATGCCATGGCGGGAGAGGGAAATGGACCTGTGAAATTTAGAAGTCATTAATGAAGAAGACGATGTAGTTTTTGAGGCAGAAGGATTAAGGAAGTCACTAATCTGATCTCTTCGCATCGTTCGAATCCTTTGGTCGCTGATAACTCAAGTAGTTCTTCGACACGTTTCATGAAAATGTTAGCCACGTCACATTTTTCTATATTCATTATTTTTTTAGGAAAAAGATTTTGTTTTAATATTTTCTGATATTTAACACATTTTATAATATTATATAAAATAATCAAAATTTGATTAATATTGTACTATATTTACAAATACTTTTAAAATGCATTATATCTGTTATTTAGTTTTTAATTGTGCAGCTACTCCTTATATCAACCCGTGAAACAATATTGAGATATTTTCTATATTAATTTGTGAATTCAAATATTTAATCACGGTGAATTTTAAAATTAGTTCATAAATTTATGATTAGCTTTTACAAATAATAATAATAATAATAATAATAATAATAGCTTCATTAGGCAATTCTATAAACTACGAAAGCATATTCTTTTATCATTCTTGTTTGTAAATTATTATATGTTAAATTACATTAAAAAGAGTAATTTTAAAGTCTAAATTAAAATATTTTACATGAACTAAAATAAAATAAATTTCAAAGTGTGTTTTAGCCTAAGTTTCACATTTATATTCATGCTTCAATTGTTGGACATAGATAGCTATCCCGAGCAAAGCTAGTCAAAATGTAATTGGCTCACGCAAGCAAAGCTGCTTTATCTCTTCAATAGCATAATGCTCCTTTGATGGCTGCAGTTTGATTTCGAAGAGCTTTGGCCATAGCTTTCCTGTCACTGAAGGACGAAGTGGGGACATAATTAAGACATCAAATAATGATCGATGAACAATTAATAATTTTGTGTTGAGGATGGTTAAGAGTAAGTCCCACATTGGCTAAAGCAAAGTCATGAGAGCTTATGCTCAAAGTGGACAATATCAATACCATTATGCCTAAGATTTTGATTCCTTACCAAAAAGGCGATCTTTGCCGCTATCCCATGCAATGCCATTTAGAACATCAATCTGTGAGTAAGAATTGAATAATCAGAATTGAATCATCCAATAAATATAAAATCAATGGATTGAAGCGCTTACTCGTTTCCCCCTTTGCAACAATTCCCTTCTGTATCATGAAATGTAAGAAAAGTAAGATTAATGTGGAAATTCAAATTCTACTGATGATGAGAAACTTCATTACAATTATGCTGCTTAACATAATAAACAGTAATCAAAGAAAAACCTTAAAGATGGGAGGAGAATCCATCCAAGCACACTTCCATCTTCTATTGAGATTCTGACGATGCAATCAGTCTACAAAATGGAACCTTCAATTAGATCTTTACAGAGATGCAAGAAATAAATAACAATTATGAATGGGCACCTAAGAGTGTAATCATTTTAAGACTCTAGAAACTTTAGAACGACAATCAGAAATCGACCCGAAAAAAAGTGAATAAATATCTCGGAGAATATACCATAAAAACATTTGCCCAGATTTCTCCATTGACGAATTCCAGCTCATTGAGGTTATACACCTCATCTCCTTCATAACTCACAACCCATTTATTTGTAACTGCATTAATTGGGAAAATGGTATATTATTTATTAGTAACTCGGAACCCATTTTTTAGGGTCATGAAATTTAATTTAGAGTAAAACAACAGAGAAACCTGTAAATGTCTGTGGATCAATCTGATATAATGTTGATGTCCCATCACTTCCAAACAAAATTTTTCCATCTGTTGCCAACCCCCAACCATCAGTCATTTGATGAGTGAATTCCTTAACCTGCACACACAACATAAGTAACATTTAATTCAATTTAAAAAAAAAAATAATTCCCAAAATATAATCTACTTCAATATTACTAAATTTCCTCTTAACTTGAACAACCTAGTCATGAATCAAGCAGCCAAGAGGTCACATAAAAATTGAAGAACAATGAATAAAGATGAAGTACAAACTTTGCTTAAATTGTTTCGGTCATATATGAAACCAGTTTTCTTCAACCAAGTTACTTGAAACAGCCTACAAAAGAATATAGAAAGTGCTAAATTAGCAATACTGAAGACTCTACTAGGATACATTTCTAACTGCTATAATGAATAGAGATACATATGACGAAGTGAAGTAAGAACAAAGGTTAGGTGGCATATAAACTTTAACACCCTTATTATCCTTTTTGGACTTTCCCTTCCGGGATTCCCCTCAAAGTTTCCACACCCTTGTTACAATGAATGCTTTGTTTCCCTCTCCAACCGATGTGGAATCTCATATAAATACATAAAATTGGTTTGAGTTCCCGAGACAAAACACCAGATTAAATTCCTAGTTTTTATGGTACAATGAAATCATAAATGCCTCCATCACAATTCAATGAAAGAAGTGACCATTTGAGTTCATACTTCAATCGTTAATTTCCAAAACAAGAAATTCGTCATATTTTCTTCATAGATATTTGCAACGATAACTTATTAGGAAAGAACTGCCATTCTTTCAATGGCTGAATGGGCAACAAAAACAGTGCAGTTATTATTTAAACCATCACAGACCTTTCCCCAAGAAGTGTTAAGCCTTCCCCAAAGTAAGAGGCATCCATCTCGTGAAGAGCCTCGGTCTGTAGAGGAAAGTAAGTAAAATAAATAAATAAAAACCAGCAAAGAAATTGGAATGCAATGCTGAAATGTGTTCCCCTCAAAAAGTTTCTCTAGTCATCCGTTGAACTCTGTTTTGTTAGTATTATATGATTGATCAGCATGAATAGACAGTTAAAGACTCTAAGGTATTACATGTTTTTCATCTCTGGACGACATGAAAACTCAAAACATAATGAAAATTATCAAAATTTAACGATACATAACGTGATCAAAAGAATGAATGTAACGGGTAAAATTGTGTCGCTTCTTTTATTGCATACGAGAAATATGAAAATGAAAATTACCTTCCCAGTAGAGAGAGCGACTTTTCGAACTGACGACTGGAACAGAAAATGTAGTATAAAGTCAAAACCAGAGTAATCCAATATTCACCAAGTTAATTGATAGACAAGTGATATTAAAATTCACATAGCTAAAAAAATGTAATAATTTCCCCAACACAAATTAGCTAACAGCCGAACCCCACTACTAACAGATATTGTCATTTTTAGGCTTCTCCTCAAGGTTTTAAAACGCGTCTGCTAGGAAGAGGTTTCCACACCCTTATAAGTAATGCTTCGTTCCTCTCTCCAACCAATGTGGAATTTCACAATCCACCCTCCTTAGAGGCCTAGTGTCTTCACTGACACATTTCACAAACCGCTCCCAATCGTTCCCCTCTCCAACCGATGTGGGATTTCACAATCCACCCATTTGGGGGCCAGCGTCCTCATTGGCACACTGCCTGGAGTTTGCCTTTGATACCATTTGTAATGGTCCAAACTCACTGCTAACAGATTACCCTTTTTGGGCTTTCCCTTTCGGGTTTCTCCTCAAGGTTTTAAAACGCATCTGCTAGGGAGAGGTTTCCACACCCTTACAAGGAATGCTTTGTTCCCCTCTCCAACCGACGTGGGATCTCACATAATTGACGGATGAGAAGAAACTACATAATGAAAGTTTTAAATCCCTGCTCAAATTCTAATCACAGTATTTTTTTGGAAGAGAAGAAACGGAGATCAGGTCATTGTGCCCATCCGAGACAAAGCTACAAAACAAGGACATGCTGATCAGAAAGGATGATACAATGAATTGTTCTTGGACATGATTGGCAAAAATTGTAAAGAAGCTATAGAAATTGTCTGCTTTTAATTACACGAATCTGAACAAAATGTAAATTCACCTGTCCATAGAGGCCAGTTGACTCAAACAGTGTGTCATTTTCTACATAAACCAGTCCCTGGAGAAGCAAGAGACAAGAGTTATCAAAAACAATACTCATGAATGAGCTTTGTAATATAAAATTCCAACAGAAAACAGTGTGCCCTGCTCATAATATGAACATCCGATTATCCAATAGTCAGCTAAAAGCAGACAAGAACACGACAACAACGCCTCACTAGGAATAGGTACACAAATCAACTCGTGAATTGAAGAAAAATGCTTAGACGGAAAATTACAAGATAACACTTCGGAAATGGTCTCCATGCATTTGTATCAGTATGTGGCGATGAACAGTATTGATGAATTTCAACCAAGTTCAATCACAACAACAATATAATGACCCTAGCTTCGGAGAAAAGTTCTCCCGAGCAAAAATAATGAAGAGACTGGAAATGGCTCGAAAATTGAGATACCTGAGTGAAGGCTCTAGGATCGTGAGGAAATTCGTTGACCACCTCAATAGAGTAAATTATTGGCGATTGAACTCCATATTTGGCCGATCTACGCAATGCATTCAAAGAAAGGCCGGAGACCAGAACAATAAAGAAGATCAGGCAAATCGAAACCAGCAGGGCAGTACTTCTAGGGATACGGAAAGGTCGAGAAGAAGGCCGAGAAGCCATGGCTGCAGAGGTCTTGAAATTCGACCGCTTAGACTGCCTCCTCTTCCATGATCCAGCTGCCATTGGATGGCAGATTATTAATTAATAGCAAAGAAGGCAGAGAAATGATCCAATCGGCATGGTTTAATTAGGAAGACGCTTAGATTATGGAGACTGGAAGGCAGAAGAAGCAACGCTGAGTTTGGAGTTGAAAATGGAATACGGATAATCCATTGGAGGAGATCCGTCTCCAACTCTTCTACTCCCGCCGATACTTTTTGATTCAGCGTTCGCGCATGGAAAGCCCAAATTAAAAATAATAATAATAAATAATAAATATTGATTAGATTATTATTAAGGAAGAAAAAATCAAAATTGAGTTATATCAATTAAAATCATAAATTCATTATTATATCAATTTTAACTCTGAAAATGTTTAAAAGATGATTCTTCATGTGTAAATAATCTGAAATGATAATTACTCTCCTATTCCCTACCAATTAGCTTAAATACTGAGAATTAAGCAATAATGAATAAATATGTAGATATTTACCTATAATAAAATATTAATATATATGATAAACTATAATTGGATACTAAATATCCTTAACGCAAACAAAACTAAAACTATAATGTTATGGGAGGATGAGGAGGGGTTGCCTTCAAACTTTCTTGTCCCTTTATATCATTGTGAGATTCTATATTGGTTGGATAGGAAAAACAAAACATTGATTACACAAAGTGTGGAAACCGCTCCTAGTTGATGCATTTTAAAAACTATTAAGACTAACGATGATACGTGACAAGCCAAAACGAAGGATATCTACCAGAAATAGGTTTGAACTATTGTTACAAGTGGTATCAGAGTCCTAGTAGACACATCTTAAAAAAAGTGAAGACAATATCTACTAATAATAGAAAAATACGATACTTTTATTATTAGGATGGATACACCATAGTTTCTATGTCAAAACTTAGAACTATACATATGCTCGGAAAGCAGGTAGTAGAGAGGTGTGCAGAATGGCCATCAATTCCTCCCCTTCCCTCTTGCTCTACAAGTAATAGTGGCCAGTGGGCGAAAATATTCAACAGCAATACAAGACTGGTTTGTTTTCTAGTGCAGCATTAAGGAAGGCTCGACTAGGTACAATTCGACGAAGTAGAAGTCGCCATTGCCATCTCCAACAGAGGAACTCTCCAGCTTTGTTTTTATTACTACCCATGTTCCATGAACGCATCATATGATGATAGTACCCTTTTCTGCATAATAGATAACATGTAATCAAAACAATCATAATTTTTAAAAAATGCTAAATTTCCTTCACTCGTCTCATGTTTCAAAAAAAAATTTATTCCGTTTGTTCGAGCAAAATTAAATATGAACAGTCAACTAAATTCTGAAATGGGGTCGTAGATCCGAGGTTGAACAGTTAACAAAACTCTCTGCCTCAGGAACAACAGAGTTTTGGTATAGAAGACAGAGAAGTAAATACTCACATGATCCTCGAAGTCAGGGCTGGACAGATTAATAGCCAAGTTTCTCATCAGCAAAAGTACCTGAAGAGCGGATAAGGGTATCAGATATTTACTATATAAGTTGTTTGAAGCATATTACTATATTTATAGAGTGTTAGGTAGAACATTATGTGAACTACAAAACTAGTAAATGGGCTGAATTTCAGATGGAAGTATAGCTATGTGAAGCCAATCAATGGTATTTCATAATGGAACCAATGAAATTGGAACGAAGAACATACAGTTTCGACGTCTATTTGGTCCATCTTTTTTAACCTCTGCAAATGATCTATGGCTGTTGGGTCGAACACGCTGCCAATGAAGTTATAAACCTGACCAAAATCTGGCAGAACTGCATATAAACAACAGCCAGTAATAAGTGATGGTAAACAAAGCAGCCTCTTAAGGACAATTATCTATACATCTACTGCTCAGGAAATTTAATAATACTTTACCTCTCAACGGGAGGCTGTTATTTTCCTCGATGCTTGATGATTTAGTTGGAAAACGTGTTCTTGTAATGCTACAGTTATTTTGTTTAACTTCCCCTGCAAACATAAAATATAAAGGAATGATCTAAAGCAATCAAAGCATCCAAAACAAATGGAAAACTAAACAAAACCAAGAAGAAAAAAGGATTAAGATCATGTTCAGAGACTTCAGGCTCAATTGTGATATGGCAATTCAAACCTCTTGCAGTTTGAGAGAAATTGGCAGTCTGGATAGAATGATCCGCCCTGGAAGGCATGGCAGCAGCAGAAACAAAACTCACAGGAACCGAAGAGGAATCTGGCTTTGTAATGCATTCCGGTTCAACAGATGGTGGCTGTAATGGCAGTGACACGAGTGCAAGATCTGAGATCATAATGAGAAGCCATTAGCAAAATTTACTTGACTTTTCAAAAGAAAAACTGGAGGTTGAAGTTGTTCTGACCGATTTTTGAAGCTTTTTGAGGATATGGATGAGCAGCTTTCCTCTGTTGACTCTGGCAAATCGGATGTCGACGGAAAAAATTGGCCGAAGGTTTCTTCGAAGGAAAAATTAGCGGAAGTAAAAGGAGAGAGAGAGAGAGAGATTCGCTGGTAATGCTGAAGACTCGATATTTTTTATTTTACATCCGTTGAATGGTTTAAATAATAAATCTAATTACAAAAATAGAAAAACCAAATATACACAAATAGAATAAGTGGACGAAGACTCCGCCACTCTGCCAAAACAATGGCCCCTAGAATCACGCTCCTCCATTCGCGTGAACTCATATGTTTTTTACAAACCTAACTAAATAAGGCAGAGCTTTTATTTAACAATCTCCTCCTAAAAGCTGTACCTTATTATTTGAACTCCGATCTTTGAGCGTAGTTCTTCAAATTTCACCCGCGCCAGGGATTTGGTGAAAATGTCTCCAAGTTGTTCCTCTGTTCGGATGAAATCAATTTTGATGAGCCCTCGATCTGCACATTCTCGAATGTAGTGGAATCTGATTTCTATGTGCTTGCTCCGGTCGTGCAAAACTGGATTTTTGATCAGGGAGATCGTAGCTTTGTTGTCTATGTATAGCATTGGTGGATCGCTTTCTCTCCCGATGATTTCTTCCATTAGTCGTGCAAGCCAGATCCCTTGAGTTGCTGCCATCGAAGCGGCGATGTATTCTGCTTCGCAGGAAGACAAAGCAACTACCTTCTGTTTTGTTGATTGCCAGCAGATCGCGCCGCCTGAGAGAAAGTAGATCATTCCGCTGGTGCTCTTACGATCATCAACGTCACCGGCCATATCACTATCGCTGTAGCCGACCAGTTTGAGTTTCTCCTTTTCGCTCCCAGCGCAGTATCTTACGCCCCAGTCTCTGGTTCCGGCTACATAGCGCAGGATGCGCTTGACAGCCACTAGATGCTCCTCCCTAGGTGCTTCCATAAACCTACTCACATATCCAACAGAATAAGCAAGATCAGGACGAGAGTTTACCAGATAGCGCAGACTCCCGACAATGCTGCGGTAATTGGTGGAGTCGACTGTCGTCGTAGTGCCGGCCTTCCTTAGTTGAAGTCGGGCCTCCATTGGCGTCCTGGTAGGATTACTGTCCACAAGCCCAGTTGTGTCCAGCAGCTTTCTCGCGTATGCACTTTGGCAGATGGAGATGCCGGAAGAGTTCTGTTGCACTTCGATGCCGAGGTAGTAGCTGAGCACACCGAGATCGCTCATCTCGAAGTTTTTCGACATCTCCTTCTTGAACCTTCCGAGGACTCCCACGTCGCCTCCAGTGATTATGAGGTCGTCGACGTACACTCCCACGATCAGTCGCTTTTTGCCGTGGCCGTACGTGTACATGCCATGCTCAGAGGCACAACGTTTGAAATTCAGTGACAGTAGGGTACTGTCGAGCTTCGCGTTCCAGGCTCGTGGGGCTTGTCGAAGCCCGTAGAGTGCTTTGTGCAGGCGCAGTACCTTATTAGGGTTGTCGTTATCCAGGAAGCCAGGTGGTTGTCGAACATAGACGGTCTCCTTCAACTCTCCGTTAAGGAAAGCAGACTTTACGTCCATATGGTGAACCTCCCAAGAGTGATGTGCTGCAATTGCCAGCAGGAAACGAACGGATTCTAACCTTGCTACTGGCGCAAATACCTCTTCGAAATCCACTCCTTGCTTCTGGACGTAGCCCTTCGCCACCAGACGAGCCTTGTGCTTCACAACTTCTCCTTTTTCGTTGCGCTTCAGTTTGAAGACCCATTTGAGCCCTATGGCTCGGTGTCCCGGTGGCATATCCTCCAGACTCCACGTCTGGTTCTCAGTGATGGATGTCATCTCCTCCTGCATTGCCTTCCGCCAGCACGGGTTCTTTTCTGCTTCGGCGAAGGTGTTTGGTTCATCTGCACTGACGGCATGTAGTTCGGCCACTTCCTCGAGCTCGCGCGCTGCTAGTCCAGGTGGTTCACCTCCTCCCACTAGGTCATCCATCCTCCGGTACCTAGCCTCCAGATCAGTATCGTGATCGGCATCCAGCGTCGAATCCGCAGTCCGTGGTGTTGCGAATTCCACTGGTTCAGGTGGTGCACCTGCTGGCGGCGGTGACGTCTCCTGATGCTGGGCTCCTCCTTCTTCAGGCTCAGTGACGAGGTACTCCACCGTGAATTGATTTGGATTACGGTCTGCCTCGATCACGTCATTCCACTGCCAGAAGGTGCTTTCGTCGAAGACGACGTCGCGAGACACGTGAGCTCGCCCCCCCACAGGATCATAGAGTCTGTACGCCTTGCTCCCGGGTTCGTAGCCGATGAAGACGACCTTCAGCCCCCTGGGATCGAGCTTGGCGAGATGGGGACGTGTTACCTTCATGTATGCGACGCAGCCGAACACGCGAAAATGATGTACTGTTGGTTTTTTGTTGTACCAGGCTTCATATGGCGTCTTCCCGTCGAGGCTTCGGGTTGGTGACCGATTGAGGAGATAGACAGCCGTCATTACTGCCTCTCCCCAGAATCTCCCAGGCATCCCGGCCGTCACCAACAATGACCTCGCTGTCCCGACAATGGTCTGATTTCGGCGCTCTACCACTCCGTTCTGTTGGGGGGAGTAGGGCGCCGTTAGGTGCCGTTGTATGCCGACCTCATCGCAGTACTTACTGAAACTTGCCGAGGTGAATTCTCCGCCACGGTCTGTGCGCAGCACTCGCATCTTCTTCTCACATTCGGCCTCCGCTCGCGCTTTAATGCGCTTAACCGCCTCTGCCGCCTCACTTTTCGCTTGCAGCAAAGTCAGCCACATGAAGCGGCTTTTGTCATCGACTAACAGGAGGAAGAGACTCTTACCGCCTGGGGTCGCCGGCTTGATGGGCCCGCAAGTATCGCCGTGTACAAGCTCCAATGGCTCATCGGCTCGGTAGGCTGTTCGAGACGGAAAGGGTGTGCGCCTCTGTTTGCCGATGAGGCACCCGTCGCACAGCTTGTTCACGCCTTTGATTTCTGGCAAGCCGTGCACCAACTCCTTCTTCTGTAACTTTTCTAGGGCAGGAAAGTTTAAGTGTCCGTACCTTGCGTGCCACCTCCAAGATACCTCTTCGGTCTTGGCCGAGAGGCTAACGGGTTGGTCTATCTCTAACTCCAGGATGTAAAGACGGTTTGTGGTTCGTCTTGCCTGCGTGAGCAGCCGTCGTTGATTATCGCAGATTTTCAGTAGTCCGCGCTCGATGGAAATGAAGCAGCCTGTCTCATCGAGCTGACCCAGGCTCACAAGGTTAGCCTTGAGCCTCGGGATGAAGTAGACGTCGGTCAGCTTGCGATGCTCGCCTCCCTTACTGACGAACAGGATGGTGCCGCGCCCTTCGATCTCGACGACGGAGCCGTCGCCGAATTTCACCGTCCCACGGATCCCCGAGTCGAGCTCGGAGAACGCAGATCTAGCCCCGGTCATATGGTTTGTTGCCCCTGTGTCAAGGATCCATTGCTGGTGCTCGTGTTGCTCGTCCCTTTCGCCGATCTGAGCGAACACTCGCTCCTCCTCCAGTTGAATTGGCTCCCCAGTTGGTGCCAGCTTTGCTACGCCCAACTGGAGCTCTTTCTTGGGTTCAAGATCGTCGTCGGAGTTGGAATCGAAATTGGGGACGCATGCGGTTACCATGAAGAGAGCTGGCTCGTCCTCCTCGGATTGAGCCACATGGGCCTGGGCCTTTTCGGCCTTCTCCTTATTCCTCAGCTTGCTCCAGCAATTTCTGCCCAGGTGTCCTCTCTTCCCACAGTTCGAGCAATGGATCGGCCTGCCATTGGTCGACTCCTTCTTTTGATTCTCATCTTTCCCGCGCGTGCGCCCGTGGGACATCCATGGCTTCTTACCGCCTTTGCGGCTGGAGGAGGACCCGTTGCTCTCGCCGGTGTTGTCGCGGAGCTTTAGGCGTGCAAGCCATTCCTCCTCCGTGAGGAGTAGACGGCCCTCCTTGTCAACAGCTGAAGTGATATTCTTCTTCCGCTGCTCGACGTTACGTAGTCTTCCGGTCACCTCTTCCACTGTTAGGTCGTTCACGTCAAGCAATGTCTCGATTGAAATCGCGACTTGCTCGAGGTGATCGGGAACGACCTGCAACATCTTCTTCACGATTTCTGTCTCGCTGATGCCACCACCGAGGGTGGTGATGCTGTTGGCGAGCCCCGTGATCCGCATTGAAAAATCATCGACGGATTCGCCGTCCTTAAAGCGAATCTCCGAGAGCTCCTTTCGCAGTTGCTCGATGTTGGATTCCCGCACTCGCTGTACACCGACCCGACGGGATTTGATTCCCTCCCAGGCCGATTGTGCGGTGCGCTTGGTGGAAAGAGAAGCCAGCATCTCTGGGGGCACAGATCGTAATATGGCGGCGAACGCCAGCCGATCCTCCCGGTACTCGATTGTTTCTCCTTCCTCTGGCTCGACAGCGTGCCATAACCCTTGCGCCTGTAGGTTAACACGCATCAACAAGGCCCACTCGTTGTAGTTGGACCTTGTCAACATCGGGTACTGAACGACGGCGGTCGTTGTCTCTCTGATCACTCGCTCAACAACTACTCGACGCCCGTCATCACGATGTCGGCCACGGCCTCTTCGTGGTGGTGATGGAGATGCCGGCACTTGGCGGCGTGGAGGAGTGAGCGAGCCTGCTTGAGATGGGCCCCACGATGTATTTATTTTTGTGCTTTGCATTTTCTTCTACTCGAACCTAAGACCTGTGTGTTATTAGATCGACGCTCTAACCACTTGAGCTATTCAACTTGATTGTTGATAGGTTGGCTCTTCTGTGATGGTATACTACCGATCGCTTCAACCAGGCTCTGATACCACTTGTTGACTCTGGCAAATCGGATGTCGACGGAAAAAATTGGCCGAAGGTTTCTTCGAAGGAAAAATTAGCGGAAGTAAAAGGAGAGAGAGAGAGAGAGATTCGCTGGTAATGCTGAAGACTCGATATTTTTTATTTTACATCCGTTGAATGGTTTAAATAATAAATCTAATTACAAAAATAGAAAAACCAAATATACACAAATAGAATAAGTGGACGAAGACTCCGCCACTCTGCCAAAACAATGGCCCCTAGAATCACGCTCCTCCATTCGCGTGAACTCATATGTTTTTTACAAACCTAACTAAATAAGGCAGAGCTTTTATTTAACATCCTCTTAGGTCGAGGAGGAGGCAAGTGTTCGCCTGTCCCGCTCTTCTCAACCTTCAGGAAGTACTTCTGGGCATGACTACGTATCTGTAACAAACCATCATCTTATTTACACCACTTCAAGATCAACAGGTTTCTAACGAAACAGAACAAGACATACAGATTTACTTCATAATCTTTAAATTTTCATACATTTAGCATTAAACTCGACTCTAAATTATGCAATAAAGTTGCAATTTCCAGATCTTATCTATAGAAATCTTAGAAACACTATTGAAAGATTGAAAACATTCCCAGATTTGTTCATTAGATCCGTACAAACAAAAGGGGAACGTGAGACAAGTGTCTTACATTACCTGAATGACAGTCTTGGATCCAACAAACGCCTCAATCTTCTTCCAGTCTCGATCAAACCTAAAACATGTAATCAAGAGAAAACGCAAGTAAACTGAAGGAACAGTCAAATACTCCAAAATCACTTCGAGAAAACAAGCGCAATGCCTCCACTCATGAATCCAGAAGCCTTAAATAAGGAAAAACAAGAACGGAGAATTCGAAGAAACTCTTATTTACTAACAAAAATTCAAAGAAACTCCAGTCGAACAGAAGAGAGAACAGAGAAGCTGGAAAAGAAATAGAAGATTATACAGTTGAATAGCTTCGAGGAACTTATCGTGCTCAGGCTCAGTCCAGCTCTCTCTGCACTTGGTGATGGTGTAAGGTTTCCGAGCTCTCTTCGAAAGATCCTCCTTCGACGACGTCGGAGCAGCGTTGAACGGTAAAGCCATTTGTACGGATCCAATTCGGAATATACAGCCAGGTTTAGCCCGAGCACGAGGTTCGAGAACGGCAGTTTGCAGTTGCCAGTACCATTGATATTTTCCGTGGAGATACTTTGAAATGATCGGCTGCGGCGGGTGTATGTTTAGTACAAAACGTACAAGCAACAGAAATATGACACGTGTCTGTTAGCATTGATTTTTAAGAGTCAAAGCGAGGTACTGGGTGCGGCGGCAGGTAGAAGAGTGTGGCTGGAAGGTTGGAGGGAAAGAAGGGAACCGTTATGTGGGGAATGAAAAAGAGTTCCCTTATCAATGGGAAGACACGTGTCGAATGATGCCTCGGTGGCTTAAAAAAGTGGAAGATATTTTTATTGGGACCTACACGCTCGAATTTGTACCACCCATCAAATCTTATCTTTTTCTCAGCTTCGCGCAAATGGTCCGCAGTAATTTTATATGATTTACGTTCTCGAAAATTCTACACAATCTTAATTTTACCGTCTCAAACACGGAAATTCTACATAATAAATATATGCTATTATTATGCGATTAAAAAAAAAAAAAGGAGAAGGTAACATACAATATGTTCCTCTCTAATCTCCTCTTTTTAAGGGGCGTTTGCTTCATGGGTTGGAGAAGGATTTTGAGGTGGAAAATGACGTGGATTTATAAAAATCATATTTTAAGGGGGGAATTAATTCATTGAAATCATCATTTTAATATTTCGAATACTATCTAGAATCTCCAGGTAATTGGGAAAAAATGGACAAACATTCATACTTCCGGATACCGAATTTACAAAGGTAACGAAGTTCTTACTGAAATTACATTCACACAGTAGCTTCTCGACGTTTTATTTCTTAATTACAAACGGTCGAAATAAAATCACCACCGCCGACTATAATTTCAGTTCGAAGCCGGATCGACACCGACGGACCTGAGCGTCTCAGTACGATGGCGATGAGCATAAGCATCGCCGAGTTGAGGATCGTAAGGAACGCGATAATTGCGTAATTTCTCGAGTTCCTGAACGTGAGCCACTTTTCTGAAGAACGATTTAGCGAAGAACTTCTCAGTCTCCTCCGCCACGTGCTCTGGCTCTGCCACCTCCGGAATCGTCTCTCTGCGTTTCTTCCGAACGGAAACGGACGGCGAATGAGCCAACTGCTGCTTCGCCGTGTGCAATCCGAGGGCTACAGAAAGCGCAATCAGACCGATCGCCACATAGACGGGGACAAAATCGCCGGCTCGTGACGCCTTCAGCTTGCTCTGTTGCTGCTGGTAATCGTGATCGAATCGTGAGAAATCGGCCGCCGGCGCGTAAGATTTCATCCTCGCCTCCGTCGCCGTAGCATATGACTTGGGGCTTTTATTCACAGTTCTGAAGCTATTTGCTGCCACTCGAGCTGCCAAATACCTGAACGCCATTTTTTATTACGACGGACGATGTAAAACCTTGAAGGGATTCAATAATGGATGAAAGTGACCGTGCCGGATTTTATAGGGACGGAGAAATTAAGAGACGGTTCTGGAACCATGGGGAGGCCGCTACCGGAAGAAGAAGACGATATACGTGTCGGCTGAATAGAGAGGACACGTTTCATGGAAGTCTCTTGAAGTTGCCGAGTGTAACTTTTTTTTCATTCATTTCTTTATTATTATTATTATTATTATATTATCTTTATTAAAAAAGAATTTTGCCATGCTTTTAAATTCGGATTTTGATTTTTAAAATTGTCCATCTTAATAAATTTAAAATTGTTAAATTTCAATTAATTTATTAGGGATAATTTTAAATTTACAAGATGTGTGATTTTGCTTTGAAATTGATGATAGTAACATTCCATAATAAACATTTTTAATTAAGAGAGAAAAAATTCATGAATGAAAAGGAGAAGTGGTTTTTATTTTTTATTTTTTTAAATAATAGTGAAATATGAGAAAATAGTTTGACCCAGAGGACACTGCAGATTAAACTTAAACCAAACGACACGTCAACAACTACAATGTTATCCACCAAAATGCCAATAAGAAACAGACTTTGGTCTTGTCTGCTCGAATTCCTTCCAAGTTGCAATTGCTTCAAGCATTTACAATTTCTCTATAAAATATCTTCCTTTTATTATTAGTCATTAATATCTTCTGCAACTCTCTCTCTATGGAAGCGAAGGTTAGAAACCCGGGTTTGTTAATTTTAATTTCTAATTTTTTAGTAAATATATAGAATTATGTCTCTGCATAATTGATTCTTCAATCTTACTTGGCAAATATGTATATATATTATTAACCTAAATTATACTAGGAAATGAAAATCGTGCATTAAATAATTTATTTGAAAGGAATGTTTTTTTATTGAGGAATCCAATTCGTACAAAATTGAATAAGAAAATTTCGAAAATATGGATTGAAATAGGTTGCCTCTTAAAAAATATTGGTTTTTGTGGGCAGAAAATAGTGCTGGAAATAACGCTCTACAATGAAGACGACAAGAAAAAAGCCATGACTATAGTTTCTAAACTAGCAGGTAATATAATAATTTATGATTAAATTAAGTTCATATTTTTGTTCTTCCTTATAATTTCCATATAATACACCGATAGAAAATGCAATTAAAATTATTAGAGCAATAAAAGGAGAATAAAATTTATATTAAAGATATATATATATATATATATATATATATATATATATATATATATCTGTTTGGGTAGGGGTGAATTCAATTTCCATGGAAATGAAAGAAAAGAAAATGACAGTGATCGGGGAAGTTGATCCAATATGCATGGAAATAAACAAACATTTCAAATTTGATGAATTCTTGAAAGAAAAATATCAATCTATATTAATAATGTTTGAGAATTTTAAATTAGAAATTATAAATTAATTATTTCTAAATAAGTTAAGAAAATAGGAGTGCTCAAGAATATAAGCAACCATTCATTAACGTAAATATATGCCATTAACGGTTATAATACAATGCGAAATTCTAATATATTATTTAAATTGATTACCTTAGAGGACTCCTTCTCCCAATCAATGCCAGAACGATACGGCGACGTTTTTGAGAAGGAAACAGCGCGTAAGTTGCATTTTAATGACTGGAATAATACGACGACGTTTGGTAAGGAATCAGCGCAATTATATAGACATTTATTTATGCAGTTTTGTCTACATTACCGGTATTTCAACGGAGCAGACTTATCCGGAATATGATATCTTCGTAACCAAACAGAGCAAATTAGTCTCCTCCACGATTGGCTTCGTCTTCCTCCTTCCACATCTCAACCCAATTCTTCTGCGCCTCATCCCATCCAAACAGAGTCCCTTCCTTCTCCGGATCCAAACTCGTCGACAGCGTCCCGTAAGCGATTCCCATCGTCGAAGCTCCAAATGTCAAAAAAATCGTCAAAAACGGCAGCCAAATTGGAACATGCCAAAGTTTCTGCTCATGGACCGCCTCTAAGATCTTCACCAATGTCACGCCGAACGCCATCGGAATTCCAACGAAAGCCAAGATTCTCGTTATGATCCTCTTGGCTACGGCCTCCGGAATTTCATCGTCGTCGCCGCCGTCTCTGCTATTGTTTTGGTCGGAAAGTTTTTTCACGGCGGTTTCTCTGTCTTTCGCTGTTGCCGGAGAACCTGTGAAACCCTTGGCGTTTAGTTGGATTTGGCCTCGGGATGTTCCTGTGAAAACTCTGAGATTCTTGGTGGTTGTTGAGTTATCGATTCGGCTTCTCTGTTTCCATGGCGGAGGCTTCGAGAGGTCGAGAGCGTGCCGGAAGGAACACACCAGAGCTTTCATGGCGACTTGGTTTTTTAATTGGCTTCACTTAATTTTATTGCCGGAAATCTTATCCGAAAGCCTTGTCTTATGAGATGGACGGTGGCGCTTCATCATCGAAAAGATATTTTTTACATTTGATATTCGCATTTTTTTGGATTTTTTATTTCCTCTTTTCTCGATGATTTTATCGATTTTATTTATTTTTATTTTATTAATTGTTTATAATACTATAAATTTATATGCCAATATTGTTCTAATTTTATATTTATTATGTTAACATGTGTTTTTTCAGTACTTAAAAGGTAGTTTACACGTATTAATTCAAATATTAGGTTTTCCTTTATTTTGATTCAAACATTTAGATTCATTTGTAAATGATATAGATCAATTATTTTGAATTATGCATAGTTTTTTTTATTTATTTATTTGTAAAATATTATATTTTTTTAAAGTACACATAAAATAAAAATCAAACAATAAATAAAGCATATTTTATATGAATAAATGAAATGATAAGAAAAAATTATATACAAAATGATAGCAAAAAAAAAAAAAAAAAAAAGAAATTAAAAGATTAGTTGGCTGATCAACTCTAGCACACTCGAAGGTACTGACAGTTAGATGGTAAAATTAGCTTGAATCTATATAATATTTGTTCGATGGAGGAAGAGTTCATTTTTAAATTAATTAAGAGTAAAATCAACTTAATCACTGTTAACTACTATTTCTCCAATAGGATAATTAATGGAAAATTTTAATATTATTTTTATAAATATTTATTTAATGTTACCGTAGCATGATAGAATTGGAAAATTTGGAGTCCTTTAATTTCTACCTAAAAACAACGGTTAAAACATGACGTGGCTAGTTTCATTCATATCCGCGCGACGGAAGGTTTAGGGTGGAAAGGTCATTTCGGCGGGAAGAAAAATGAAACACCAATACGCTTCATTTATATCCGCGCGCGGCTCATTCCGAAACATAATCAAAATTATTTTTCAGAAGAGGAGAGAAGAAAAATGCGAAAGACGAGGGAATCCACAGAGTTCAATCGTGAAGGACGACGTCGATCGATCGTTTGAATGCTTCGTGCGGCGTTTCTCATTCTTGTAAGTTATGTTCTCTAATTTTAATTCGAGTTTCTACAACCTAGGCAGCCATGCGAGCTCTGCGAAACAATGTACTGCGAATCTCGTTTTTAGACACAATTGAATTTCACTGTGAAGCAATTGTAGTTATTGTAGAAAAACTGCTAGATTTTGTAAACTGGAATTACGATAGAGGAGCAATGTTATAGGTCGAGTTTCTGCTGTGATTTGGTGATCAGCATGGATGTTCTTTGTTTCTGTATTTTCTGCTTCTGATTATGTGTGGTTATCCATCCTGTTTCTGTTCAGAATCTTCTGTGAGAGGAAAAAAGAAAGAAAAAGTAAATTGAAGCCTGAGAGTTCAGCAAACTTTGAGACTCCAGTTTCTGATTCAGTTAAAGAAATACAGGACAATGCAACGAACGGCCAAGATTTCATGGAAAAAGTAAGTCGTTGTTTTTCTGGATGGCGGAGTTTGCCTGAATTCCATTAACTTATTCTTCATATGCTTATTCTAGTATTTCAGCTGTCTAATGAAGTTCAGAATTCGTTGAGCTAATGATGAGCCTGAAACAGCTTGATTATTGTGTTTTTCGTTTTTGTTTTGGCGTTGCTTGACAAAACTATAGTTATCACGATTCAGTTTGGTTTGACAAGTAAAGCAAAAGGTTCTAGTTCTAAGAAGTTCTCGCCAGTCTTATTTTATAATTCACCTAGAGGCGTACCTCCGAGGAGGCCATCTAGTTTGTGGAGATTATTGCTTGAAATTCGTGTCGAGCTTTCTGAACAAAGTAGATTCAAGTTAAGGTATATTTAGGTTTCATCAAATCTCTCCCATTCCTCTTCCTGTTTCACCATCATTCCACTTCTCGATGATTCCATTTGACATTTCTGGTGTCTTTTAAGTAGTGAAGTTTGGACCACATTTCCTAGACAAGAAGAAGCAATGAAGTGTGCAAGAGAGCACACAGATGTTCATATTTTAGTTATCAAGATCACTTGAATGAACAAAGTAGATTTCTAGTTTCATCAAACAGCAAGTTTCGGCATGTTGTCATCAAATTTTAATAATACTTCGAGTAGAAAAATTATTTTTCCATCGGCCTAGCAAACGCTTCTGATGTCGTTCTAACTACGTTCTTAATTAATTTCAGGTACAAAAGCATGGATTCAAAATTTAACCACCATTAAATTGATTCAAGAGGTGAGCTGAAAAAGTTTGAGTCAATGTGCCGATCATGTGATTGGATCTGTGCGAATCGTGTGCTCTTTTCTTTTTTCTACTGCACTTTCTCACTGTTCTATTCCAACGTTCAGGCTGCTCCGCGCCATCTTTACTTTGATATGAAGTACAATATAAAAATCAGCGCGGGAAAAATTGGAGACGTAATGGTTGATTCCTAGATATCAGTTGTTCTAGAAGCCTCAAATTAAAAGTATTCGATTCAAGGAAGCTTTGACTGGATACTAGAGCTTGATTCCTCAAACAAGGTATATTTAGCAACAATTGGATTTAGGCTTCATCTTCTTTTCACTTGTGTTATTTCTTCGTTATGTCTTGAAATGTATACTTAATAGGTGAAACTAGGTTCTTGTAATTTCTTCTTCTTCTTCTTCTTTTTGGCATCGCATAGCTCAAATTTTCTTGGTATTAGTATAACATATCATTTTTATTAATAACAAGTCACAATAGTTAGTTAACTGGAATGTTTCTGGTAATTCTACAGGAATATGATACTTCATTTTTTTAAAGAAATATTTTTGCCAGACAAATTTAGATAAAAAAAAGAAAAGAAAAGAAATATAATTTTGGTTTCCGACAGAAAAGAGGAAGTTGAAGGCACTTCGTAGTCATCATTGTTTAGAAATTTTGCCAAAACTTTTCCACTATCGGAGAGATTGTTTTACTCAACTTTTTAAGAAAGTATTTTCGCAGGATACATTATTCTGAGAAGGATCCTATTATTTACCTACGTATTTAATCGTAGTGTGAGGAAGACATGTTCATGGCATCCTTGGTCTGCAACGTCGATGCTGAGTGTGAGAAACTTCTGGTTTGCGAAACGGAATTACACTGCGTAAAGACATTGCAATTTGAAATGGAGGTACGATCAAGCTGAGTATCAATTTAGTTATGAAGCTGCTTTGAACAGTCCATAACATGCCGATTATACCTTTCAAATTGAATTATCTTATAAATCCAAATGTCTCGTACCTTTATGTTTGATTTTAGTTATTCAACATTTGTTTGCCTTTGAGGTTCTCTGGCCGCAGGAGATATGTAATTTTGGACGGTTTGTTGAATCAGCTGCCTCAACCGGAAGTGTATCAGGTAATTTCTCTGGTTCTTTTTCTTTAAATTATCTTACAATTTACTCATATCATCTTTCTTGCATGCAAAACATTGATCATTCATCGTTCAGTGATGTATGTTGTCGACCTTACGACGGCTGCCTATTATCAAAGTGTCACGATCCAGATTGTGGAGGTGCTCAAATAAAACTTAATTGTCAATTTTTTTTTGGAAAAATATTTATTTGCAGCCATTGCTTAATTGAACTTATCACCCTACAGGTTACCGATCTCCACTGCGTCCAAGTCCAATTGATGCCATTCCTAATCCTTGGGTCTCCACGGATTCAGAACAGATATCAAATGACATAGAGTCGTCCAACTGATGCCATCTTCGTGCATGCGTTTCCAACTCGCGAGCAGCTAGGTTTCGGATGCAAGGTAAGCAAAAATCCATGAACACTTAATTATTTTCTGAGCTCTTTGATATTGTCCATAGTTAATTGAGCTTAAGAGTCAAATTGTTCTGCTACCCTTTCAAAGCTCCACACCATTAGAGAGCCAGTTTTCTTAACGCCATTAGCCATGGTTCAAAATATGAAATTGAATAGTAATTTTTAGAAAAGCTTCACATAAATTTGTTACTTTCAAAAGCGTCGCAATAGTAAATTAGCTCCCCACCTTTTGAAAATGAAAACTCATTGGAGAGACATTGAAGATATTATTAAATGTTAAAACTACCAGTTTTTCTTCCAATTTCATTCTCTAATTGGTTTGAGCAGGTAAAATTTTGGCTACGGCGGAAGGTATTTGGTCTTTTAGTTGATATACACAAATGAAGAATAGGAAAAGGAAGAAGGAGGGGGTCACTGCCACCGTGAGTGTGGTGAGTAGAAAGAGAGGTGAAGAGTGAGTTAGTGAAAGGAGAGAGTAGTTTTTTTTTTTTTTTTTTTTTTTTTTTTTTTTTTTTTTTTTTTTTTTTTTTTTTTTTTNAGTGAAAGGAGAGAGTAGTTTTTTTTTTTTTTTTTTTTTTTTTTTTCATGTTAATTTAAAAAATTGAGTGCCTTTTTTTAACCCTATTTCTCAAAATTTGTACCTTTTTTAATTTTCAAATCTATAGTTTGCATCTAAATATTATAAATTTATAATCAATAGATTTTTTTCCAAAATTTTTTTTTTTAGTGTTGAATAGGTTCTGTCCTTTTTATATCTTTTAAAATTCCCCACAAAATAAAAAATTTTCTTTTACAGAATCTTTGCTTGTCTGATAAGTTTGTGAGTTTTAGGTGGAAAGTATTTAAGCCCAAAAGAAACAAATCTCTCAAAGAACATAAAAAGTAGATCTCCCATGTTTATCACCAAAGAAGCTTTTTGGCTCAAAGAACATGAAAAGTAGATCTCCCATGTTTATCACTAAAGAAGCTTTGGACTCCATTCTTTCCCACCAAAATCCAAAACGAACACTTCCTATCCCCTCTCCCGATCGTCTCCCCCACAATTTCCAGCCCAATGCGTCAAAGCCTAGCCGTTCAGCCTCATTCCTCTCCTCCTCATGCTCTTTTGGTTTTCTTCTCCATCTCTTACCTACATAGACGTCAAAGTTGTGACCCATTTCCCCCAAAATTCCGTCATAAGCTTACCTGCAACTCATGCAAGCTACTTGCTCTTTTGCTCCACCACCTGCAAACTCTAGCCTCCATGGACGGCACTACCTTGACTCTTCACAGAACCTCGCGTCTCTGGTTTAGCTGTAAAATATTAGATAGCCGTGGTAGCAGCGTCATGCTTATGGTGCGTGCGGGTGCTTTGGAACCCCATTAGATCCGGTGTGAAGAAAGTGACTATTTGGAACAGAACGGAGGAAGGGGCAAAAAATGCAGGGCTGGACAGGGTCTACCTGAAGAGTTGTGGAACTCTGGATCATGCAATTGTGTGTGCAACCAACTCAGAGGTTCCTCTGATGAAAGGTATTTTATCCCATGTTATAATTTTTAGTGTATTCGCTTCTGTCGCCTATGGACTTGTATGTCTCTAACTTCGGATTAGTAAGTTCGCATGAAGTCGAATTTGGAGCTTCTTGTTCGAATCTGATGGGATTGATTAACGGGGAGGTGGTGGGAAGAAGGAATAGGTAGGAAACAACTGCGTTCAGATCTGTTGTTGGCTCTGCAATGGCGGACCTTGTTGCGAGAGAAGCATCTGAGAGTTTTTCAAGCTTCCTTTGATTAACAGGTGATTCCTCTTTACTACTGTTTTCTCGCTTGGTCTTCTGTTTAATTTTGAACTTGACGACCAATTTAGATTAAGTCCTTTAACAGAAAATCAAAAAATCTTTCGGGAGATTTGTTAAATAGAAATAGGTGGACCGTAGTGGATCTTTTAAATAAATTAGAAGTTTTCCCTTTTCAACTTTCATGAGATTTTGACTGTTTTTTATTTTTTATTTTTAAAATTTATTGGTCTATTGAGTTCATAATTGAAATTTTATAAATTTATTAAACATAAAATTTAATTTTGTATTTTATAGATCAGTTATTTTAAAAAATCAAAATTACAAAATAAGCCTTTTGAAGTAAAAGGATTATCAAGCTTTCTTATTTGATATCAGTTATTCATTTTGAAGTTGACCTACAAATGACTTAGTTTCCCAATTTAGATTAAATCCTTTAATAGAAAATAAAAAATGTTTTTTTATAGATATTTTGGGAGATTTGTTAAATAGAAATAGGAGGACCGTGAGTGGTAATTTTTAAATAAATTACAAGTTTTCCTTTTCTTCTTTCATGCTTTAAAAGTGTTTAGTGAGATTTAGACTGTTTTTTTTTTTTTACTATTTTTAAAATTTATAGGTCTAATTGAGTTCATAATTGAAAATTTATAAATTTATTAAACATAGAATTTAATTTTGTATCTTGAAAATTTATAAATTTATTAAACACATTTTGTATCTTATAAATCAGTTATTTTAAAAATCAAAATTACAAAATAAGCTTTTTGAAGTAAAAGGATTATCAAGCTTTCTAATTTGATATCTATTCTTCATTTTAAGGTTGACCTACAAATGACTTAGTTTCTTAAATTCTTTGGAAGTTTAAATTCAATGTCAAGAACCAAAATGAGAGTTTAAAAAAAGGGACAATTTAATTTAACCCACCCAAAATATTAATTAATATTGAATAATTTAATCTTTAATATATGTAGGATAATCATTTTGTTTTTTTATTTATTGTTTGTAAAAATTAAACTTACGAAGTTCATACAATTCCTTGCTTATCACCCCTATTATTTAAAACTATTTAAAAAAATTAAACAAAAATTTCAAAACAAAAAAAAAAAAAAAATGATCTTTTAAAGTCTTCAGATTATTATCTCAATTTATTTTAAAATTTTTGACATATAATAGAGAAATTAACAAAATGTTGATATGATTGGTTGTCTATTAGTCTAAGAGAATGGGAGGGAAACGAGGCTCCATGGCAGTCTAACATTAGATTAATTAACATTTCTAATCTAATAGATTATAAAAGAAATTCTTAAATTCATAACGTTGCTAATTTGCTAAAGGATAATATCCTTCATGATTAATCGCTTAAAAACGAGCAAGCGCTTGAAATCAAAGATTAAAAAGGGAACGTAAAACAGCAGGCAAGAGAGGACATTTGGAAGAGGCCAAATTCATAGTAATTGAAGAATGATTGCTTATTTGCAATCGCCGGATCCATAATATAATCCAATGAATTAACAATTTAAAACAAATTTACCTGCATTCTCTGGAAAAGCAAGTCGTTCAACTGTTTTTCTGCGCTAAACTCAGAGGTTGCCTGAACAGATAAAAACAAACTAACTGGTTAAGGTTCAGTAATAAAGCATTTTCCTGCAAACATGAGTTCATTAGATCCATAAGCTTTACGCCTAAGCAAGTATTTCATCAAAAAGATCAAACAAAATATATTTCAAAACTTCCTTCTCTGTAATTTGTTTCCTTTGAAAGGTTATACATGTAAGAAGTTAAAATGAGTAATATTATGGATCTAACCATGTATTGTTGCGCCTAGTATGATGAAAGAAACTGGGCCAAAATATTAGAGGGCTCAACTAAATTGTTTTCGCAAACAATTAAATATTCTAGCAGAAACGAGGGGTATCCGTTTTGAAAACATGACGACGACGACGTCGAAATATTCAAAACTTAACAAATAGAGAAAAACCACATGAAGGTTCATCAAACCACATTACGTTAAATATATTGGACCTACTAATTATATCACCAATAATTTGCAGATGCATGGTTAATCTGTCCTTGCTTCTTTAGTAATCATATCTACTAGTGATCAATCCAGAGGAAACAGGAGAAGAAGAAGAAAAGGAAAGGAAAAAGCAGTAGCCTGAGAGACTAAGGTGGTAGTTTACTTACTCGTGTATCAAATGCAAACCGCAATGTTTGGACCTGAGTTCCGGAGCAAACCCTCACGTCAAATCCAATTGAATCTATACCATTAATTACAGCCTCCTGCAAGTATTCATTGAAGACCAGTGGCCTAAATCATCGTGAACATGATTATAATCTGCGTACCCTATTTATTGAACTAAAAATAAAGAAACTAAAAGAACTAAAGATGGGTAATTGGGCCTTGGGGCAATCTTAAAGTAGAAGATTCCCCACAACACAACTCGAAATGGAGCACGTTCTGTGAATTCTATTATAGGCAATGTTCAAATTCATGTTGAACTATCCCAAAGTGAATACTAAATTCCAGAAACTCTACTTCGGTTCATGACACCACAAAAGTACACGACCTAGTAAATTTATATCTATGTTATACCCAATTAAAGAAAGCATCCTCTCGCAACATTGCAGGCTAATTGACTTATTGGATGATCACAGTTTTGAAAAATAGCCATAAAATGAAGAATTGTATGAAACAAATGAAGTACGGTATGACTATAGAATAAAATCATGTTACGATTTAAATAAAAACAATAACCTGAACAGCCCTTTTGGAAAATGCAAAGTAATAATTCAGAGATTAAAACGAATATATTGATGAAAAATCGAATAATTTTTAAGTGTATACGTTAGTTACCTCAACCTGAATTCCCTTGCATCTCCAACAGAGAGATTTGAGCGCTTGTGTGGTCTTTTCTCCACCTTCTCTTAAACGAGAAATAATTTTTTCTGCTGAGTGCGCAATTGCATCAGGTTGAGCCTGCATGAGGTCTTCTATTTCAACGTTGCTCTGGGAGGAAGGTAAAGGAATGAATATTTGTCAGTAGCAACCAGAAGCAAATCCAAGTAGACATCTTTAGGCTCAAACAGCATAGCGTTCACAAAAGTGGGGAGATCTATGTTGTTGGGATTGAACAGTTATGCCCCATAAACTATCTACATAATCCGGAAAGCTACTGACAGTTCCGGGAAGTGCTGGTTTTCTTTCATAGATACCCTTAATATTGCAAAATCATGGTCAAATATATAATTATATAATCAGAAATTAATATCGTTAACTTTTTAAAAAGAAAATCTATAATGCTGTTTTGAAAACATGCTTCAATGAGAAAAGGAAACCGAAGACAAACTGATAAATGCAAATAGAGATCAAACATACTGGATGTGAATGTCCTGTAAATAGCTGAACTTTTGTCATCTCCAGTCGGTAAAATGAAACCTCGTTCATTGGAATATTATCATCCAATCCATTGGATGAGCTAGATTCATGACCATGATTATCAATCCTACCATGATTCTCAAGGTTATCTTCAAGTTTCTGAGCCTCATTTATGTCACTGTTACTAGAGTGACGGCTGGATAGATGTCTCTGGATAACAGAACGCTCTTCCCTGCGTGTAGGTCTTAAGGCCCCTTGAATCACTAAAGTTGCTGGGGGCTGCTCCATCCAATCGATAGGATCATCTGATGCAGCCTAAAATGCATAACAAGCACTAAAAATTTGATAACACGTAATTAAGTCTATGGATATCAGCATAGACAGAGTTAGACCAAAACTCGTAAGTTATTGTCTCAGCGAAAAAAAAGTCAATTAATCCATCATAAATCATTACCTCTGAAAGCTTTTTGGCAAAATGCATTGGATGAGAAGAACGCATTGTCTCCAGTTTTGCCCAATCTCCTGCTGTCTCGTCAGAGTGATTAGGATCATCTTCATCCTCTATGACAGAAACCCAGTCCTGCAGAATGGAGAAACCTTCACGTTTAAACTAAAGGAGCAGAATCCAACAATAATGTTTATTCATTAAATTAGAGAGACCGCATCGTAGTCATCATCTGCATCATCCTCGTCGACATCGTCTTCATCATCGCCATCACCATCACCATCATCATCATCTACTTCGTCATTAAGAGCCTCATCATCAAGCTCTTCAAATCCCAAATCAACTTCTGATGGACCAAACCAATTGATCTCATCGATCATTTCCATGGTATCAATGCCAATAAGAACTTGCTGCATCATTAACGCCATCAATGCAAACAGTATCAAGGAAAGTCAATTGATATTATCCTTCTAGAGTTCTTTACTGAATGAAAGTATGTCTGCCTATAAAGAATCTCGTTAGATGCTTGATAGGAAGGACAAATGATTTATATATTCACCAGTGATGCAATCATAGTGAACGTGTTTAAGCTGAGCACTACACTGAATATCAATGGTCCTACGGCAAAGCTAATGTCGTGAAAGTAATGACAAGGGCATGGTAATACATGAAATCAATAATGAACATCAAATTTTCTTCCTTCGAACCCTCCCAAATATCAAATCCTGATGTGGAATATATATATGACCACACGGAATTAAAATCCTGAATTCATGTAGACTGAATCTTCAACTATACCAATAAAAAACAGTTACGTGACTCCCTCGTTTGACGTAACAAACTGTAACTAAAGAAACAATACAAGTCGAGTTATCTCATAAACGAATCCAAATACAGAGTACGAACTTCAAAATAAATTTGAAAAAACATTAGATCACTCCTACAAGGGAAAAAATAAAACAACTAATAATTGTTGCATCATCTATCACAAATTCAATGGCATGCGAAAAATAATAAATAAAATAATTATATAATATTGATATTATTCAAAGACTGAAACTTGAAATATAAATTTTTGGATAAATTTTTTTCGAGAAGGTAATAATTTGAGTGGATAAAATGTTTTCTGAAACAAGGAAAAAAGTAGATAGTTTTGCAAAAATTTTGGATGAAAGATCATGAAATTTATATAAAAGCTCGGTAATGCTAACCAAGACAAGCATGATCGTTGAACTATTTAGTTATTTGCAGTATATGAGGTCAAGAATTTAAAAAAAAAACAAACATGATCATAGAATTCAAGCTTGTCCTTTCAATTGACAAATGGATGTTAAACCCTAAACCCTAAGCCTGATGAGTTTGAAAAATTCTCTTTTCTTTTCCGGCAGGAAAGAAATCTAAAGGTCCTTGAGTACAAATCTGAAGGTTTTGACACCTTTTGATTTGTACTCGAGGACCTTTAGATTTTTTGCTTCAAAAACATCCAAGTCCCTAAATATAATATTTATTTCCAAAGCTGTAGTGAAAATAAATGTATTGAATATCCTAAATATATAGGCTTTACTTTTTAACTTACATTGAGATGTTCATTCATATTTGGTTAATTCCAACAGAATAAACCTCCACCAGCTGAAAAAGCATTACGAACAAAAAAAATGTTGCAGAAATTAATTATATGTATACTACGTATATCCTTTGAATCAGCAAAATTGACAACATAGCCATCACGACGGAGCCTTCACATGCCATGTAAGAGTTCGGAATAATTAAAAACAAACAAATAAACAAGTATTTTGGTTTGAGATGAGATGTGAAAGGGTGATGAAATAAAATTAATACGTAAGCCAAAATCCTTACAACAAAGTTATTTTCTGAAGTTAGGTTTTGCATGGCCTCTTCCGTATTCTTCACTTGAAAATAAATATCTGCAATATAGTTAGATAATATAATCAATAAAATAACAGGGAAAGCAGTCAAGGCTTATGTGAGTATAACTGAGGATAATGTACTCTAAAGACTGGACATACTTCCATGTTCGTCAGTTACATAAGGAAGTTCTGGCCAGATAATGTTTTCCTGAACTTCATCGTTAATCAAACCCACAAACATTAATGTTGCTTTGCTATTTACCTGAACATGGCATACTATTGAAAATATTAATTATCAAAATTTGTAAGAAATATGAAGCCATATAACACGCAGAATTACAAAAGCAGCCATGTATTTCAATTTATAATAACACGCAGAATTATCCAGACACACGGAAATCTCAATCCAAGAGAACAATAGAGAAACAAGCAGAGACAAGGAGATAAGGCATCTCCTTCCTATCCATCAAACATGGTCGATATCCAAAAAGGAGAAATTGTCCCAATATTTGTAAGACTGACCAAAGGGAGGCAATATTCCACATTTTACAACCATGTCCAATATATTAACCACATACGGGAAAGAACATGTTCATAGAAAATTCGCATGTACAAAAACTAGCACTAGCATGTTTGTGGTTGAGGGCAGGGAGAGAGAGGTGGGCTTAGGGAGAAGGGTCCAAACACGTAGTTTAAGTTCTCTCTTGAAACCCTGAGGCATAGATGTTACTTGCAATTTAATTTAGTATAAATACAGCTCGTAGGATTTGGTTTCCTTTTCTTCTATATACTCGTTGGTCATGAAATTGAAGTGATGATTGATTAAAAAAAGTCGCTAAAATTATCAATTAATCCAAGTATATTCTTTCTTCAGATCCAAGAGTAAGGTATTTATCTATGATAAATTTTACTTGTAGTAAAATTACCTAGTACAGCAAAGAGGAGTGTATTTTTAAAACTTCCGAGTATGAGCAGTAAATCATCATTTTCCAAGTCATTAGGCAATGAGCTGGCAGCAAGATAGAACACATTCCAAGAACTTGAAGACATAACATCCATGGAACTTTCGTGAATGAATCCCATTGTTTGTACTAAAGGAAAAAAAAAAAAAACTGTGTTCAGCATTCCTACTTTTCAAAAAAAAAAAAAAAAAAAAAGGATCGATTGTTTTTGTTTCTATGATAATCTTCAATTCAGAAATTTCAAGAATAGCCATGCCCAAATCAGTACATAAATCTTTATATATGCATCTAACTTCATGCACAATGTAGACTAGTGTAGCTGAGTCGACTTTCAGTCTTTGACCTCCATTTTGGAATTCGAAAACGAGATGGTAAAAGAATACATAATTCAAACTATTGCCATTCCACCGATAAGATTTAGTACATAAAGCAAGTAATGCAAACAACTTGCCTGCTAGTGATGCATCACACATGTAAAACATCAAAAATAAGTATGAAGATTGAGAAGAGCATTAGTATAAACTGATACCTCAATGATTGTTCGAGTAGTTTCTGCGGCAGTAGGTCTAACATCCTCGGCATTCTCTGATCTTGATTTCACGAGCTCCTCGGATGGATGATACTGTCTCCTATTTTGTTTAAGTGGATCTGACGCAGAGCCCAAATGCTCTGCCGATGCATGAATTCCATTTTTTCTGAAATTGTTCCTTTCCAAGAAGGACTTACTGTTAAGGCTTCGGCATCTTTTCCTGCAAGTAAGATATCGGGATTTAGAATTCTAATCATTCATTCCTAATGTCTGAAATTGTGATGCGTGTCCAGACGTTTCCATTGCATTCTGCATACATGAATTCGATATTTCCACTTAATAAAGATTGAATCCTTGTCTTCGACAGTTTTTACATATCATAAACAGAGAGGAACCGTTTGGTTAAGGTTCTCCTTACTGAATACTTATAATATATGTCCATACATAACATGCAAAGAGCACAACTGTGACCGAGTAAGCATCACCATCAGATACACAATCTTTTCAGAAAAATCTCAAACAACGCAGTTGCCTATAATATCAATCCTTCCGATGCTTGCTAATTGCGATTCCATAATGAGAAGACCGCATTTTATAATGGATTCTTAAGATAAAATCGCGCTATCTGAATTATGAATTCTCTCTTGTGTATTAGGTATGAATCGTAGATTAAATACTTCAAGTATTTGTTAACCATAAATTTTGCGTTCAAATCAGACTTCTACGATATCCAATTTATTGCGATTTCCGCTCAGCGGCTATAATTTTAACGGAGGCAGGATTAGGAGTCAAGAATCCGCACGCGAATTTCACAAAGAAACTCATCGAAAAAATTAAAAAACGGAGGAAAAGAAAAGAGCAAGCTCAAGTACCATTGCACGTCGGAAGCGCAAGAATGCAAAAGCCGGCAAAAGCCGCTAGCATGGCCTATATTAGTCACATCCTCCGAAGTCCAAGCTGAACGGTGATCTGTATATGCAAACAACAAAAAGCAAAGAAGAAAAATAGTCTCAGCAAGGAACCGAGAAAATGCCGGAAAAATCTATAGAGAACGTCTGTGGAATCTTAAGCTTCATTGCTTAAAATAGAGATCAAGTAAGCAAGCAAAACAATTGTTTCCTCTTCCTCTTTCACTTAATAGGAAAAATAATAAAGAAATCTAGTCTCCGGCTCTGAGCTTGGCATCCGAGAAAATGAGAGAGAAAACAGCCACCAGAAAGGCAAAGGAACGTGAGCTCCATAGTTTTCAATAGAAATCAAGTAACGCAATAAGAACAATTGTTTCCTCTTCCTCTTTCACTTAATAGGAAAAATAATAAAGAAATCTAGTCTCCGGCTCTGAGCTTGGCATCCGAGAAAATGAGAGAGAAAACACCAACAAGAAAGGCAAAGGAAAGTGAGCTCCATAGTCTTCAATAGAAATCAAGTAAAGCAATAAGAACAATTGTTCCTCTTCCTCTTTCATTTAATTCGAAAATACAGAGAATAAAAAATAGTCACAGCTTTGCAGCCAAGAAAAATGCAGGAAAAAACGCCAAAAGCTATGGAGTCTTAAGCTCCAATGCATCCAACAGAAAGCAAGTTGTTAAGTAACCGACAAATCGTTTTCCTCTCTCCTTCTTAGAATTCGAGCAAAAGCATTATGCAGCACGGAAAGTTTAGTTCAACTTCGAAAGTAACGGCAGCGGAGAGAGAGAGAGAGAGAGAGAGAGAGAGAGAGAGAGAGAGAGAGTTACGAGACAAAGCAGAGGAGTAGCAGAAGTTGGCGCCGGCGGGGAATCGCACGGCCAGAGCAGTTTCGATCATTCTCTCAACTTTTCTTTTTCCTTGGTAATGCGCTATTGAAGTAGGTGATCCACAGGCATTTTCCCAAAGAAGTTGTGCGTTAGGATGAGGTACCCTGCTCTTCTTCTTGGCATCACATGGAAAATATCCTGGGCGCGAATAAATATGCCATTACCGTACGGGCGGACCAATCGGCTTACGGCATTCAGGACAGGCCCAATGGTATCAATCTATTGGGCTTTGATGATATGCAGCCCATTACCTCTCTCTTGATTTTTTTTTTAGTTCAATCCTTTTGAGTAAAAAATAGACATTAATTTATTAATTTATTAGATAATAAACTATTTCAAGCATACTATTAAATATTTAATATTTCATAATAACTCTCAAATATTTGATATTTCAAGCATACTATTAAATATTTTATCTCTGAAAGATTTATTTGAAGAGCATGTTATTTGTTTTTTTTTTTTTCGGGACAATATCGACGAAGGATGGTAGGAAGAAATATGGGAAATTGAAGACATTCTTACATATTTCTTCAATGGCGCACTCTCTTGTTCCAGCATCGCTCTCGTCCGCCTTGGCTTCCAACCGGTAAAATTCTGCCTTTCTCGTTCTCTCTTCGACTCAATGTATGTGTTTGGTTACTGAGAAAGTTACAGAAACAAAACGAGAAAGTTGTTGCCAGTGACGAAGTGTGTTTTGCGTAAGATGGATGATGAAATTCGAAGTCCGATTGAATATAAACGAACTACTTTTTTCTTCCTTAATGTCGAATTGGATATCGATTTGTCGAAAGCTATTGATATTTGTTTTCCTTTGCCGCACAGGATGCATACTTTGATTTACTCTTTTCCCGTCATATCCAAAGGGATTGAATCTGTTAAATTTTCGTTGATTGCAAGTGCAAGAAGTTCAGTGGTAAGCCTTCTCATCAATTGGTTTGCTGCTAGCGAGAATCAAACTAGCCTGTTCATTTCGATTGGGTAGAAGAAATTTCTGATCAGTGGAAACTGGATATATGTATTATGAGTTGAAGCAAATCCTGACCTTCTCTTTCCCTTCTTACACAAGGATTTCGATTTATTTGCAGGTATGTGCTGCAAAAGGTCCACGGCCGAGATATCCTCGGGTGTGGAAAACCAGGAAGAGGATTGGGACCATATCCAAGGCAGCAAAGCTCGTTGATTGTGTAAGCTCTCTTAAGCTCTTGTCTCACAAGAAGCGTAATTTTGCATATTCAATTTGGAATTTCATAGCAGAAGATATTTTATTTCAGCTTGATTCAGAGTGAATTTGGGATGCATTTTGAGACTTTTGGAAGATGCATTTGAAGTGCTTTTAAGATTTTTAACATTACTTTTGAAAACTTCATTAAAATTCTGCATAGTGCCTTCAATTGACCAAAAGCATTTCTTAATGCTTCAAAATTCGATACTGAACTCACCTTCAATGCAACTCAATCTTTTCTTGTTTCTTGGGATCATTTGTTATGTTCTACTTTTGAACTCAAATTCATTTGCAGGATTGAGCAGTTAATTCGATATCCTTTTATAAGTATTTACTTTCATTTTAGGTCAAGGGACTGTCTAACGTGAAAGAGGAAGTCTATGGGGCTCTTGATTCCTTCATTGCCTGGGAACTAGAGTTTCCTCTTATTACTGTAAAAAAGGCCCTAAAGACCTTAGAGATCCAAAGAGAATGGAAGAGGATAATTCAGGTACTTTTCTTTCGTGTTCTTTCGTGTTCTTTCTTGCTCTGCCCTCTTATCCCGAGAATGTCTCCGATCAAATGAGTTAAACAAGTTGGGTGTACTATTGTAGTTGACGAAATGGATGTTAAGTAAAGGCCAAGGAAGAACAATGGGTAGCTATTTCACATTATTAAATGCCTTAGCTGAAGATGGAAGACTTGATGAAGCTGAAGAGCTTTGGAACAAATTATTTTCTCAGCATTTGGAGAGCATGCCTCGCATATTCTTCCATAAAATGATATCCCTTTACTATGAACGGGATATGCACGACAAGCTATTTGAGGTATTCAGTTTTCTCTTCTATTGCTTATTGTTACAGAAGCAGTTTCAACTGCTTGACTAACAAAACTCTAAGCATTTATATTTTTAGCCATAAAACTCCAAGCAATTCTTCCTTCTTTCATTATAAGAAACTTGCATGTTACGATTATTTCATATGATTTTTACTTGAATCATGTTGAACTCCGTAGATACTGAAATTTAACTGTTATTTCCCTTAGATATTTGCTGATATGGAGGAACTTGGAGTTCAACCAAGTATGGCAATTGTCACTATGCTCGGAGATGTCTTCCAAAAGTTGGGTATGTTAGATAAATGTGAAAAATTGAAGAAGAAATATCCCCCACCAAAATGGGAATATCGTTACATAAGAGGAAAGCGCGTAAAAATACGAGCAAAGAATCTGCACGAAAATGGTAGTTCCAACAATGGTTCAGGTGAACTCGACAAAAAGGAGCAAAGTTCAACTGAAGAACTGTTGGAGGAAGATGAAACAACTTCCCAAGATTCGAGTCTTGAAGATGATGAAATGAGTGAAGACCGAGATGAAGTCTTGGAAGATGAAAGTATGTTGTTGAAAGAATCCACTTTTGAGCACGATTTCATGGGATTTGGACAATTGTAAGTTCAAGATATAGATAATGTATTCCCCATTTCAAGTTTGTCAAAGTTCTCTCCCTCAATATATAGTGTACACTTTTCTCTTCTTTTCTTTCTTTCTGTAACTTTGATCATACGGGATCACCAGTAGCATTGTGATCATAGAGCCAATACCCTCAATATTATAATGCCCGACCTAAAATATATTTTTGTTATTGAGTAAATGAAAGAAAAAGAAAATGTTTTTAATTAGTCATAGAAGTCAATTTCATCAGCTGAGTGTGAGATAGCTGAATGTCGTGAACTAATTGCCTTAAAAAAAGGATAATAAATATGATTCGAAACTCGTGCATATTCTGTATTAAAGTCAATCTCATTACCGTAAAACTTCTAAAGTGGTATATAGAGAACAAAATTCTAATGCACTATCATGTGGTAGGGCAGGGAGGGGAAAGAGGTTTGGGTTGTTGTCTCACTAAAAAAAAAAAAAAAAAAAAAAAAAAAA